CAATCGGCACAAATGTGTTAAAGATATCTAATGAGAAAACACTAAACTTTTTTAATTAATTTTCAAGTACAAATGGAATTAACCACCATGTACGTCTGACGAAACAGGCACTTTTCTACTTAAAACTCTACAAAAAGAATAAATCAGTCGATTCAAGTTGTGCAAATACAGTTGTATAAATACATCATCTAATCTGAAACGCTTTCAAATTTAAAATTTGGGTTTGAAATACATTTGAAATTAACCACAGCTGTAAAAATGTAACCTGTCTAAATCAATACTCTTCTTTTTACTTGAAACTAATTAGCATATGATGTTAAATAAATAAATCTACGACTTGCTTAAAGGTATAACTTTTATGATCGAAATCACTTGTTTTAGTTAAAGTTCAATTTATTTAACATTCCCAATCAACCGCAAATATGTCAAAAACCTGCCATGTCTGACATAACACGTGCTTTTCTACTTAAAACTACTTGGCATGTAATTTATTATCAACCTGTAATAACATAAATACTCTATACTTGAACTTTGATTCTAAAACTCTTATATACTCGACATCTCTCAGCAACGCATCAAATTTTTGATGCTAGTACAAGATACTCTAGTGCATTTTCAAGCACACTGTAGGAGGTTTTAATTGAAAAGTATTATATCCATAACACCTACCTTATTTATTTGCTTAAAAGTCGAAGATTGGATAAATATTATCGGCAAGTGTTGATCGTGGTAGGTACACAAATAAGGTAGAAGCACAATTGTACACACGGATTTACTAGTGAAGTTACATCCAACACGTCAGAATATGTATGTATAGAGAACGAGTTGGTCGACAGCAGCATTTCCTTACATCATAGAAATTCGATTTCTCGAGCCACGGGGGCTCCAGGGCATTCCAGTCGGTGGTAAATTGCTTATTTCTATATACATATTTATAGTTGAATACAAATTCTACACTATGTTGCTTCACAGAAACATTTTGGATAAAATCTATGTACAAGCATTGACTTGAGTACAACACGTAAAGATGAATTTGTGTGAAAAATCATAGTGTCAATAAGTAATGAAAACTGTTTGTTAAAGTATATCTACCACACCTTTGTCCTATGGTCATATAGCGCCACATTGACAATTGCGTATATTTTAATTATTATTGTACATGAGCATTCCATAATATGTTTATTCAACAAAAATCTCATTGCGCGATGAAACGAATAAGCTTTTTATCGTTTCGTGATTGCTATGAAAATCATATTTTACGGATGGACTCTTTATCGCTTGCGTGGACCCATGCTTTACAATTATATTGCACAGTATTTATTATTAGAATCATGTAGAAGTGCCTTTACAATGAGAGCTCTATTTTTTCTAAATGGAAAAGAAAAAAAAAATTTACAAACAGAAAATATTGCCATATCAATCGTTACATAAAAAACACACTATGTCTGACTAAACCCACAATTATCTACTTAAAATTCAGTTCTACAGCTATATACTTCTGAAAAATACATTATAAACTTAATGGTGTGTTATGGACTGTTTTTTTAATACCTATGAGATTAAAAATACCTTACGTTCAACCTAAAGCACAATTGTTTACTTCGGAAACCCGGAAAATGTATAAGATAGGAAAACCTCGAATCTATGTTTTTGACATACTCTTGAAAGTAATTCACCGATGTAAGGTGATGCATTTGATTATCCAACGGATATCTCTAACGACGTACGTTTCTCCAATATTCATCACCTCAAAGCCAACCACAACAGATGCACAAGGCACGTCTCGGGTACATACTCCGGTGGAAATCGAACGGGCGTATCGAAATTAGCTGATTCATTAACGTTAACGCAACCGCAAGCCAAAGTCAGAGTTAAGATTAGCGATGGATTCAATTAACGCTGGGAGCGCGAGCGCAGGAGTAGGTATATACAGGCGGGATTAAACCCGAGAAGGACGAAGCCCCCGAAGGAGCCGTGAGAGGGAGACGAGTTGGTCTTTTTCTCAAAGTGTCCTTCTCGCTTTCCTCGTTTTTCACCCTCGCCGCAATCGAATGGTCAAATATAAAGAAAAAAAAAAAAAAAAAAAATGGGCGAGACTGTTTGTCGAGGCTGCGGGCGACGCATTAAGGAAATTAATTCCCGAGCGGGGGCTGGTTTACGCTTGTTTTATTTATTTCAGGCCGGAGTGGAAGAGGACACTGCAGAGGCGAGTCGAGAGGAAAAATAACGCGCATTTAAACGAGTTGGAGGACGACGCGGACATTTTTTTTATTATATGGGACTTGTTGTCGAGTGAATCATATGCTGGGTGAGTACATGTTTTCTTCGTATACTTCGAGATAATGACACTTTTGGCTTGTTGGATGTTGCCGTCTTGGATGGACCGTACTTAGTTCGGAAAGTTATAATCTCAGCTTGGAAGAGATCGTTATTTCGGACAAACTTGGAGGGAAAACAGAAAATTTGGGGGATGAAAATGATTTTTATTTTCAAGCTCGAACTTTTAACAGTGGAACGTAGCGAGGATTTTTTTTGAAAAACAACAGCGTTGAGCTGCTGTTTTTCACGCTCTAATTGATATATATATATTTCATAAGGAAATAAGTATTATTGAAAACATCAGATTACTGAGAATCTAGACCTGTGAATCTACGAACCGCACGAAAGGCAAATTTTTCAGCAACTTGATTGTAGCTGTTAAAAGTTTTATTATTTGCCGAGTATTAAAACGTCACGGTTACTGTTGTAAAAACCCTTAACTTAACTTATTCACATTAAAATATATACAACCGTGAAACTTACATAATGAAAATCGTGTAAAAATATACTTTTACAAAATTGTTTTAGTTAATCAATGCATGCATAAAACGTCAAAATGAAATTTTCAATATGTATAGTGTACGAATGAAGGTATAGAAATAATAATAATTCATAAAGTAATAATAATACTAATGTATGAATGATTATTGAAAAATATTGTTGTAGTACAAATTGTAATCGCACAGTAGAACGTGATGTACACATTTTAACAAAAATAAATTACAAATTGCGCTCGAAAAGGGTAGTAAAACCAGTTACTGTAACATCGTTATGCTCGTAAAAAAAATAATAATAATTTGAACAATGAAAAACTAACTAAAATCACTCGATCATATTGAAAAGAAAAATAAGTTTTTCATTCTACATCTCCATATCCTACAAAAAAAAAAAAAAAAAAAAAAAAAAAAATTTTTTTTTTCCACCCCCCCAATCCTACAAAAAAAAAAAAAAAAAAAAAAAAAAATTCAACCCCAAAAATGGACAGAGATAATTCGTCAAAGAGTCATCTCTATCCATGCACAATGGTTATACCGCGCTCCGACTAATCAGCCCTAATCCAACCAAGTGCATGATTCCCGTCCAAAGAAGAGAGGGTTGCAAGAAAGACAAAGGACTCTTTGATCCGTCGCCCATCAGCAGGCTATCCATCACCCGGTGATGGCTTTTCCAAGGTGGGTCAGTCCTCGGTTCGCAAGAAACGCGGCTCAAAGTTAAACGAGATAACCATTGCACCGTCCTGTAGGTGTCTTTTTCAGCTCCTCTAGCTCGGCTGATTTTTCCATCGTAGAGAAAAAAAAAAAAAAAAAAAAAAAGGAATCGTCCCCGCATCGGTTGCTAAGCTTGATTAACGGGCTAATTGATTAAAAGAGATGAGCCCTTTGAAAGTCAGCTTGAGAAATGTTGAATGGGAAAAAATGCTCCTCCTCCCGCAAACTTTCGAAACTTTCGTTTGGTGTGTGTGTGAGTGTGTACTTTGTTTTATGCGCGAGCTCGGAGCTGATGGTGGAAAGGAAAAAAAAAAAAAATGTTTTCATCGCTGAGGAGCAAAGTTTTGCGGAGAACTTTTTTTTTCCCCTCGTCCGAAAGATCGCCCCTCGTGTGCGTGAGTCCGTGAAAATTTAAGCCGATTCGTCGCTAAGCTTAATGTCGAGTAATAATTTTTGCTCATCGCGCTGAAACTTTCTTTTTTCCTTTTTCGATTAATCTTACCTTGACTGTTTTTTTTTCATGGAAATTTACAATTGGGATCGAGACGGAGGAATTCCTCTAATTGGCTGATGCTAGTACAAGATACTCTAGTGCATTTTCAGGAATTCATTATATTTTTGTTAGTATTAATAATGACAAATTATCTCCAAATTCAGTAATTAAAATTTTCAAACAATTTTTTTTTTTTTAAACACATTCACATTTTCGTATACTTTTTTTGACACTTGCCTTTATAAATATGTCATTAATTAAAATACATGAATAAGTAAATATTTTGAGATTAAAAAAAAAGTGTTTGAAAGTACAGTTTTAAGAAATATTTACATATGCATTATTTATTTTTCTGCAAAATAAAGCAAAATTTCTATGTGGGTTATTGTTAACATAGAAATGTTATTTCTGAAATTAAGTATCTCTAGATTAAAATGTACAGATATACTAAGAACTGCAAGTTCATTAAAAAATAAAAAATTTGTCCAGGTTCACTGAGATTCGATGATTAAAACACTACCCCAAGTACTTACTTAAAAAACCGAATCCAGAACATTGGTTCAAGCTACTTGAAGACATACAATATCCATACTTATAACAACATTTCAATATGAAAAAAAAGATGCTTGGTATGATCGGAGATGACTATGACCCATTGTCAAAGACTCCAATAGTACTGAGAATTTAGTAGATGATCTATCTGTAGCTGTGTTGCAGGCTGGTCAAAGGAGCTGTGGGACAGACAGTGAATAAAAATTTTTAAAAGCTATACTAGCTGAAGCTATGGAGGAACCAACAGAACAACATGCTCTACCTAGATCGGCAAGTGCTATTCATTACAAAAATATATTGATGATCAATAAAACTATAGTTGTCATTTCCATTAATATCGAAAATAAGTTTATTTTATATACTTAACATTAAACATATAAAAATAACTTTTTGATGATTTTACAAAAGAAATAAGACTAGAATGTAACCTAGTTGGTTCTTCTCTTTTGTGTACTAATATACAGAACATTGTTTCCTCTTATAAATGCATCTCCATACTTATTCTTCAATTGACCATTAGCATATTCCTCAGTCTGTTCAAGGGCTATATTCATGTAACCATCTAAACATGCTAAAACTCCTAGAAATATATATTTATATTATTTTGATTGCTTCCATCAAAAATACCTTAAATGCAACAAGTGTGTGTATATGATCAATCACCTCGGTAATCCACGCCATTATTGAGCTTAACCACGACCGGTCGACCGTGAATTTGTTGAATAAACTGTGATAAGGCCTCTTTGCGACTCATCTATAAAATAATGCACATACAGTACTGACTTGTATTACCTCAGATTTAAATATTTTTAAAAGCGTTCAATGAGATGAGGTTACCAACTGCATTAAAGTATAAGTGATATAAAATGAAAGACAATGATGGCCAATAAAATCTATGAAATTGAAGGTACAAACTTTTTTTACAAATCAAAGTCAGTATTTGAATTTGCCTTTTTCGCAGGTATCCAAAATCCAAACACGTTTAAACAAGCTATATGGTACGTTGATGGAGTGGTGTTTCATTAATTTGTTTGTGCTCTGTTCGTCAATCGACTCTTTTGGCCCTTCTGCTGCGACATCGGTAATGCAGAAAGCTTTACAATACCTTGCGATGATAATTAACGTGCATGCCTGCATGAAGGTAAATATGCAAAATAACTCAGCCTGCAAAAGTTCATTGAATCCGTAAGTATTCGATATTTATAAATAAGTTAGCAAAATTGTGATTATTTTTTTATACATGATAATGTTTGTCTGGTTCAATTCGTTAACTATGAATGTAGGTAGAATTTTTTTATTAATGTTCGATACTCGTTTAAACAAATTAAATATTGGTACAGTAAAAAAAGTAATTGTGGTTCAAATATATTTTAACTTTATTCAACGAAGCGCATTTTTTAGAATGCATTCGTTTGATTACAATACATTAATTTTATTTACCTTAAGGTATACAAAATCAAAAGTCATATGGATCACGCCAAACGTGATTAAAATGTGACAGACATGGTCTTACTTTAATTACACATTATCGTTATTTTATACATGCACTTGTCACGCTGTCACTATTATTGCTTTAGAAAAAAAATATATAAAAATTTTTCTTTTATAGTTATAGCTTGAATTTAAAATATTTGTAAATATTCATATTTTATAAAATTCTTTGCACAATCAGTTGTTCAACATATCTCTTTCAAAAAAAAAAAGTAGGAATACAAGTTATAGATTTATATTGTAACGTTTTGCGGTACTTGTTCGACAAGGAACGCCTTACCCTCTTCATCAATAATCTCTAAGAATACCGGGCTTCCAGTTTGCTCCTGATCTTCTTCGCTTATCTCATGAGCTTCGACAACTTCTTCAGTTTCTTCCATAGATTCGTCATGATCCTCAACAAGAACTTCTTCCATACCTTCAGTATAAATGTCCTCTTCTTCTACATATTCTTCAACAGTGTCAGCAGACGCTTCATCTTGATTCGCTTTCTTTTCATTCCTGTGAGGATCTAGCAATCTAAGATTTTGACTTATGTACATGATTTTTCCAGTTGGATCATCCCTCATGGAAAACTTTTCTGTCGTCACTAATGATGTACTCGGCAGATCTAATATGGAGGCAGCGATTTTAGTCAAGAATGAGTTTTTGAAAAGACCCCGCCACCATGTAGATGGAGGCATTAGAGTTGCCGATCTTTTCACGTAATTGACGCTCCATACTCCACTGTCAGCGTTGAATTCTGCCAAATCGATCATAATGTCTTTCTCGGGCATACCAAATTTGGATGATAATTTTGTTATCAAATCTTGTCCTTGGCTCAACTCAGCTGCAGTGAGGCGCACTCCTTTAAATATTGGATTTAAAATATTCGCTGCATAATGAATATCCTGAACCAATGAAACTGATAAAGTTTTGCACTGGTTTAAGATCTGGTTAGCTTCTTCTGTCGTCACCAATGTGAGCGATTCTTGGGATGTCTCTGCAATTAAGTGTTGATCCAACTCGCGGATTATTTCAGTTACTTCACAAATTTTGGCTTCTTGACTATCCAAGTTGTTGATCCATTTTATTATTGGCCTAACTAGTTTTGTGTAACTAAGGATTTTATTCCAAAACTCCTCATCAGAAATTAATTCTTTCGTGACTTTACTGACATATTTTTCAGTTTTCGATGAAAAAACAAGAACTTGTAAATCATCCTTGTGATCCAATAAACTGTCCAAGCATACAAGATAGGAGCTCCATTTCTTAGTTCCTGGAATTTTCAGGACAAAATTGTTTAGAGCTTTTTCGTCATTTTTTTGCACTTCATTCAATAATGTCGACATAACTTCTGAATGTCGAATTTCCTTTATCATTGTCAAAGCTTGCTTTAGTAAAATACTAATAGAAGGCAGTTCAGATATTTCTTTCAACAATAGATTCAATGTTTGTGAAATACAGTAATAAAATGAAATATTATATTCTTCATATTTCTGCTGCATTAGGTCCCATAAATTTTCACAAGTTGATACACTGTCCAGACAAACTCCTAATACTCTTTCAGGACCAACTTCCTCGATAACTTCACTTATTTTTTCCATGTATAATTGTGCATCTTCTTCATTGTTTGATATTGAAATAGATCTATATAACACGGGATCTGGCGTAGTAAGGACAAAATGAATAATGCTTTCATTTTTCGAATTAGTTCTGTAGCTACACTGTAGACCTATCGAAATGGCATCCCTCACTTTCTGATCCACGACTTTTTTTACGCTTTCATACGTAGCTTCGAGCAAATTTGTTGACAGTTGCTCTTGAGTAGGTAGTTGAAATGCTGGACTCAAAGTGTTCAGCAACGTGCGCCAATGCTCGTTATCTACAATGTTAACTGGAACACTAGAAGCGTAAATTGCTTTTGCAAGCAGCTCTTCGCAATACTTTTGTCTTTGCTTGGACATTTTTCCAATAAAGTTACTTTCAGAAATTTTATTATTAGAATATGTATTTGTAGAAGAAATCTGTATAACTCCCATATCACGATCACTTGGCATTTGCTCATTTTCAGAGTCATGTCTTTTGAAATTCACTTCAACGAATTTGTGTTCTTTCCAATGTTTGTTTTTTTCGGTGAGTGATTGCTTGACAGTAGTTGGACAACCTATGCACTTTTGCAAGTGCAGGCTCATGCGTGTCGAATGTCTGGCATACACTTGGCCACAATATTTACATTTGAATGTCTGGAGTTTTTGGTTGGGCTCCTTTGGCTGCATTATAAAACTGTTATCCAACAACTTTTTTGGTATCAACTGTCGTGATACCTTGTGAGCCATACCTTCCTTGGCGTTCAGTTCAAGAGCAGTCTTGACTTCTTTGGGACAATCTGAACATTTTTGCAAGTGCAAGCTCATTCGGGAGGCATTGCGCGCGTACTTTTGTTCACAGTGTTTACACTTGTAGATATCCAGTTTTTGGCTTCCATCTCTGGGCACTTGTGCAAAGTTTTCATCTAAAATTTTCTTAAGATTCCTGACTTGACCCTTCTTGTTAAACACATTTTTCGAGGTTTCCAAAATTTTGCCCTTGACCTTTTCTTTCAGCAATTCTTTCACCGCAGCAGGGCAACCACTACACTTCAACAAGTGTATGCTCATGCGAGTTATGTGTCTGGCATAAGTTTGCCCGCAGTGCTTACATTTGTAGATCTCGAGCTTCTGGTTGGCTTCCTTGGGCTGCAGTTGGAAACTGGTTTCCAGTATTTTTTTCAGCTTCATTTTAACTTCTCTGAAGTGTCACTTTTTCAAATTGATCACTGAATAAGTAGAACAAAAATAAATTACAAAACATACACTCGTGGAATAAATAAGCTCTATGTTCTCCATCTGAGTTTGATCATCGTACACTGTAAGGTTTAACAAAAAAACAAAAAAAAGTTACCTTATAAGCCGCACAACAACGACGAAATCAAAAAATTGAAAAAATCCACCAGTTTGACAGCCCACCTGTACAAGCAAATTGTACTTTGTGACCGAGGCACAAAGCAAATGACCGTTGCCTTTACATATCAGTCTGACGCCACGATGAGCTCAACAAAAAGACAAAATGGCGAGCGACACTCAGCGTCACACGACGGCTCGCGCGCTCTCCTCTTCTCTCTCTCCGATGCGTTAATCGACGACTATACCTACACTTTGCAAAATAGTTGGCATTAATTCAACAGAATTTAACACAAAAGAGTGAGAGATTAAACAAACTTGAGATAACCTGAAATTGATTGGCGAGTTCTTGGCGAAGACGAAAATGTCAGTCAGCCGCGCTTGATACTTTACTTGAGTACCCAATAATATTTTTGTCACGAGCGAAGCGTCCGTACCGTAATAAGGTATGTTCCGACAGTCAGACTCTCCTTGAGTAGGTATGTTGGTATGAGATTGGGCGGGCAGTGTGGCCACAGTTGACCCGCGCTCCCCCCGATCTCTCGGAGTTTTCAATTATTGTTATTATTAATTTATCATAGAAAAAAATCTGATATCTTATTTATTTAATAATACTTTACAGACTTGACAAGTTTTATCTTTTTTTCAGCTCAGAATCAGCGTGATCTAATGTTTGCGATATAGGTGTAAAAGAGGCGGAACATCATAGCCTTTTGTTAAAGATGAATTAATGGTCTTTTTTTCTTTTTGTATAGGTCTAGCGAGTAGATCTTGGACGTACACACTTATGTAAGGGATAAATCGGCCGTGGAATATGGATAAAAAATTGTGTAAAAGTGTGATGTAGTGATTATTTTAAAAATAATTTTAAATGAAATAATTGTGATTATTGAAAGATTTTTATTATCCATTCAGCTTATTTATTATAAAATCAGACTTTCTTGAATAGACAAAACGATGAAACTCAAATTAATGAAGAATCGTGACGTATGATTCATAACTGCGAATTAAACGTAGATGCCAATTTGTTTTTGAACGATAGGAACGTAATCGTCGAATTTTGCTCTCATGTAGTTAATAGCGATCGGTCCCTCCAAATTGTATTTTTCAGCCAATTTATTGACGGAAAATCGGTTTCTTCTTTTATCCCTTTGTAAAAAGAAACAGCAATGATTACGTAGGTCATAAAAATGATCGTTAAATTAAATATACAGACATTTTTTACCAAATGGTAAAAAAACGTCCACGCAGTTGTAAGCGTAAAATACACGCACCTGTTGGAAATACGTCTCTCGTCGTACGTAATGGCGCCTTGGTTTTGTTTGTAGAGAAGAAATACGTAGCGATGGAAATTAGATTTTTTTGGTGGTGCTGGACCCACATATTCGGTCAAAACTTCTCCTTTGGCGACTTTATCTTCGGGAATGTTTCCAACAACCCAGTGTTGCCACTCGCGGTTGTGGCCACTCACGGGGGTGTCTGGGTCTTGAAAAAAAAGTTACCCCCCAATCTCTTTATTTATTTATTTATTT